AACTCCAGACAGCTGTTCCCAAACCTACCTCGCTTCCGCTTGTTCTGGATTGCCTGCTGCGATGAAAGCCATCCGGACTGTCAGTTCTCTCGGGGTTCGAACACCACCATTGAGGTGTTCTTGCTGGTTGCCTGCCCACAACCATATGGTTCATGAAGGGTCTAGGAAACCTTTTCCTGCGGGCGAAAGTCTCCTCCCCAGTTTGGGACCTTAATATTGTTCTAAAAACTCATGAAACCTCCTTTTGAGCTGATGGCGACCTGCCCTTATTTGTCTATGCAGACTGCCTGTTTGGGGGTTATTACCTCAGCCCACCGAGGCAGCGAGATTGGGACCTTAATGGCAAATCCTCTGTTCCCCGCGTCCTACAAGGGCTGGGTTTCCTTACGGCCACCTCCCAGGTTTCTTCCTACAGTGCCACCGTTTACCTACCAGTTTTCTTTCCAGCCCCACAGAATTCCAATCTGGAGACGGCTTTCCGTCCTGGAGCAATCAAGAGCACGTTAGCCCTCCGCCTAGATAAGACCAAAGCATTTTGTATGCAGAGCCAGGTAGGCAGGCAGAGAGGCATGTAAACTAGGCTACCCGACATAGCCAAAGAAGCCGGGATTTAAATATCCCCGGCTTCATTAAAATAAACATGGCTGCTGCACTGAGCCGGCTCAGCTGATGGTCAGCACAGCACGGCAGTCGAGATGCGGATCGGTCGACAGGGGAAGCCTTTGTTGACCGCTCCGTTATGCCTCGTGAAAGGGGGACCGTGTGGTAACGGTGGCTCTTTGAAATGTGCCCCCTCCCGGTGCTCCGTTACCCGCCAGCCCTCCCCTCTGCTTTGGAGTTTCCTTCTGAGACTCCTCAGCGGAGGAGGAGGCGAGGGGGGTTTGCTCATGTGGGGAGGGGCACGAGGATTTCTGCAGCCGAACGGACACTGCTAATGAAAATCTCCCGGTGAGGGCAGGCGTAGGGACACCCTGGTGAGACACGTTCCCGCACAGAGTGAGTAACCGCTCTCTCCTGCTGCTTTTATTTACCCGTATCGGGCAGGGCGCACGACTTCATCCCAGGCCCATGGTAGGGGGGTTTGCTCATGTGGGGAGGGGCACGAGGATTTCTGCAGCCGAACGGACACTGCTAATGAAAATCTCCCGGTGAGGGCAGGCGTAGGGACACCCTGGTGAGACACGTTCCCGCACAGAGTGAGTAACCGCTCTCTCCTGCTGCTTTTATTTACCCGTATCGGGCAGGGCGCACGACTTCATCCCAGGCCCATGGTGTAGGGGGCCGGTTGCTCTCACAGTGGCCTTGAATTCCTCTAGACCCCGCGCTCCCTCTCGCTGGCTGAATGTGCCGAGGGGCGGGCGTTGGCCGTGCTTAGCCAGTGCAGCACTGAGATGTCGAGCCGTGGCCGGTCGCGG